TCTGTGAGTTCGAGGCCAGCCTGGTCTACAGAGTGAGTTTCAGGACAGCCTCCAAAACAATACAGAGAAACCCTGTCTTGAAAAACCAAAAAAAAAAAAAAAAAAAAAAAAAGAATGCACAGTTGTTTTCTCTTTCTTTTCTGTCTTTTTTTGTTTGTTTGTTTGTTTGTTTTTTGAGACAGGGTTTCTCTGTGTAGCTTTGGAGCCTATCCTGGCATGTGCTCTGTAGACCAGGCTGGCTTCGAACTCACAGAGATCTGAATAGTTGTTTTCTAGAAATACTTTGACCTGAAGAATCCTGCTGAAAGCAGAGATTGTTTTGCTGGAGGGGCATTGCAACCATTCCACGACTTTGGTCACAAGGGGCCTTGGGCACACTTGAGGTTCTTGTATTATATTGTATTGCAAACGATGCAGGATAATAGTGTCATGGGGGCATGTGATGCTCTTCTTCAGTATGATGTGTAAATTAGATTAGGGACCTTGGTATGAGTAAATACTTTGTGTAACAATCAATAGATACGATTTGGCATGGTTGTTCGGGGTTCAGTAGATCAGAAGAGGCTGAACCTTCCCGCTGCCACAAGGGCCTTAAAGTTTTATCCTGGAATGCCTTCTTTCTACAGTCAACTTTTGATGCATGGTGCACCCCGACCACAACCACCCTAACTCCTGTTCTAGGAGCTCTGATGCCCTCTTCTGACCTCTGAGGGCACCAAGCACACATGCAGGTAAGACACTCATATACATTAAAAAACCCACAAAAACCAGACTTACAGATTATCTTAGGCTACTCAACAAACTGGAAGACAGACTAGGCTACTTGAGATTCTGTCTCAAGAAGAAAAGAGAGAGTTCATCGAGAAGTCCCATAGGGTAAATCTAAGTTGAGGGATGAATAAACTCTATACTTCAGGGCTCCGGAAACACTAGCTTCAGTTCAAGTGCTGAACAGCTTCATGGACCAGTGTCTGTCACACCACACAGGTGGGGTTCACTCCTACACACAGGTATTATAACATTGCCACCCATAGAAAGATGTTGGATGACTCTACAAGGAGGCTTGTCCATCCTTTGGGAGTCCTTGGGCTGGGTGCTGGAGTTAACATTCCTCTCCCTCCGTTATTTCCAATTGTTGCTCCCTCCCAACTCCCAGTACATGGATCTAGAACTTAGCCATAGATGGGTCTGAAATGCCTTTAACTGCTTCTCGGTTCCAGAGTGCCTCTTACAAATATCCATCGTCCTCACTGGTCCAGGCAGCACAAACACTAGATGCTCAGACCCTCTGTGAAGGGCCCAGAGCACATCTACACTGGGCAGAGCTCTCCGATGCCTTCGCCAGCACTCCTCGTCATTCCGGAGAACCAGCTTCCTTGACTGCATATATGGCAAAGCCGGGCTTTCTCTGAGTCTTAGCTTCCCCATGTGTTCAATGGGAAGTATACACCTGCCCGTGTCTGTGCCTAGGAGCGTCTGCAACCTCTGGGCTTTACTTTCCCCACCCGATCGCTGGCAGGAATCACAGCCTCCCCCCCCCCTTTGTGTTGAGACAGGGTTTCATGTAGCCCAGGCTGGCCTCCCACTCCCTAGGTTGTTGAGGATGACCTTGAACTTCTACTTCTCCTCGTTCCACTTCTGGAGTGCTGGGATTAAAGGCGTGCGCCACCAACGCCCGGCTAGACCCGGTTTTATGCTGTGCTTAGTGTCGAACCTAGAGTGCACGCTTGGGAAGCACTCCGCTATACCTCCATCCCTGCTCCCATTTCCATACTTAGCAAGCTCCAGGTTTCATTTTCCCCATAGCTCAGCAAGAAACACCACGTTTCCCTTTCTGTGTCAACATCTGCTGTAAGCGTTAGCTCGCATGAAAGGTACCTTGGCAATCGGGAGCCAAGGGATAACACAAAGCTACCGTAAGCGTAGCATCTTTTTATCCTACACCCTACATCTGTTTCCCCAGATGTTCAGGGGGCAAGTGTGTACCTCGCCTCATCTGGCAACGTCTTCTTGGGGGCATTGGTCTCCCCGTTTACGAGACGTCAGGATTGCATCCCTGCCACACCCGAGCAAATAATGTGGCCTCTGGACCTCAGTCTCTCCATTTGCTCAGCCAACAGAAACACCCCCTTCTCTAACCCTCGGCCTTGAATGGCTCTGCCTGAGCGGAAAGCGGAGGCAGGGTGGAAGGATGACAATCGGAACGTTCCAATTCTTCATGGCTGGTTTGCGAGACTTCGCAGTCCCTGGCTTCAGTTTACTGGCCATTCGACGCAAAGGAACGGCTCTTCCCGAGGACGGGGGCACGTAACTGGGGGGGACTGTCCTTTCGCAGGTCCTCCTCGCTGGCCACGCGCCAACCCCCCCTCTCCACTCCCCTCCTCTCCCCCCACTCCGCGCTCCCGCTAGAGGGGCCGACTCCGGCGTCGGAACCTTCGTGTGTGTGGCGCGCGCGTTCCTGAACGGCGCTCTTTCCCAGGGACACCGTCGCCCCTCGCTCCCCTGCGCCCCCCGACCCGCGTCCCCGGCGCCGCCGGCCCGGAACTACCCGGAAGCTCGCTTGTGCCGCGGCGCTCGTCAGGGCCAGCCCGGGTCCGTCCCGGACCTCGGCCCCGCTCTCCCCCGGACCCGAGAGGCTGCTGCACCGGGTACGGGGGCCGGGATGGAGGGAGGAGCTTGGCTTGGGCTGGGCGCGAGGCCGGCTGGGCTCTTGGGTGTGGGTCGTGGCCGTGGGACTAGGAAAGCGACGCCCGGAGCCCGGGGCGGGGGTGGGGTGACGTCGGGAAGATGGGGCGCCCGATGGGAGCCAGCGGAGTCGGAAGGCCCTGGGGACACGACGGGACGGGGGTGGTCCAGGGGACCAGGGTTGCTAGAGCGCCCCCGGGGGAGGGCCGTGCATCCGGTAGCCCGGGGGGTGAAGAAAGAAGAGACGCCAGTTGCATCTGGAGAGGGGAGGGACCGATCTTAGGGAGAGCTGGTGGTGGGAGCGGGAGCCAGGAGGTCCGGCGTCCGGCTGCAAAGTGGGAGGAGGCTCCGGGGCGGTGCAGGGAGAAACGAAGATGTCAGGATACTTTCGGGGAGGGGGCTGGGGACGGTGGTGCGTGAAACGCATCGAGATGGGGGCGCATGCAGGAGGCAGGCGGGTGAAGATGAAGGAGAGATGACGGGGAAGAGAACGGCGAGTGTCGGGATGACAAAAAGAGCCCTGGGTGGAAAGTGGGGAACTGGGTTAGTGGGACTCCGGGCAAGTATCGAGGGAGGAAACTTGAGGCCACCACAACTGGAGATTTGGGAGGCCCCTGAGGGGCATCGAGTGGGATGGAGATTACCCCCCAACCCCCGGGGGTTGTGGCACCCGAGGGAGAGGATTAAACCAGAGCTTGAGGAGAGCTCTGGGAAAGAGGGAAGATGGGGGAAAAATCCCGGAGGCTATCAGGGCCTGGAATGCGAGGTCAGAGAGGACCTAAGCTAAAAGGCGAGAAAAGGAGACGGACTGCGGTGGGTGGGGATGGGCGGAGGGAATCCGGAGGATGTCCGAGGTTCTGACCTGTCGGGTGGAGCTGGGCGTTGCCAAGCCCCGGTGGAGGAGCCCCAGAGATGGGGGCTGGGGTCAGTTTTCACTTTGTAGGGAGATAGGTCAGTAGCGCAGAGTCTGGCAGAGAATGGGAACACCTTCCTTTTTAGGAATTTTTTTTTCCTGAAAGGAAGAGACAGATCTTAACTTCTCTTCCCTCCGCCGCTCCCAGCCGCTGCTCCAGATGCTGCTGCTGCCGCCGCGGCCACCCCACCCTCGGTCCTCCTCCCCGGAGGTCATGGACCCTCCGCCCCCCAAGACACCTCCTTTTCCCAAGGCGGAAGGGCCCTCCTCCACTTCTTCCTCGGTGGCGGGGCCGCGGCCACCGCGGCTGGGCCGCCACCTGCTCATCGACGCCAACGGGGTCCCCTACACGTACACGGTGCAGCTGGAGGAGGAGCCTCGGGGCCCTCCGCAGCGGGAGGCCACCCCGGGAGAGCCAGGTCCTCGCAAGGGCTACAGCTGCCCAGAGTGCGCTCGGGTCTTTGCCAGCCCTCTACGGCTGCAGAGCCACCGCGTGTCGCACTCGGACCTCAAGCCCTTTACGTGTGCTGCCTGTGGTAAAGCTTTTAAGCGCTCCAGCCACCTGTCGCGGCACCGCGCCACCCACCGCGCTGGCCCGCCGCACACCTGCCCGCTCTGTCCACGGCGGTTCCAGGACGCCGCCGAGCTGGCTCAGCACGTGCGCCTGCACTGAGCTCGACCCTGCCCTCTCCTGGCCACCACGTCTGACCCACACAGCGGCGTCACTCCCATACATTCCCAATTCTGCTGAGGTTACTGCCTTACCCTAGGCCTCAGTTTCCCCAACTATCCCCCAAAGAGAAACACCGTTTTGTCTTTTCTCCCGTCTAGCTGTGTGATGTAGACCAAAGTTGTTGCCCCGCTGGGCCTGGGTGTCAGTTGCCACTGGGCTTCGGTCTGGCTGTGCTGTGTGTAAGCCTTTGCAAGTGATGCGACCTCTCCTGAGTCTTGGTTTTTCTACTCTCCCCAAGAGGTGAGGTCCTCGTGGAAGACATGACAAAAGCACAGGCACGGGCTGGATCATCTCTGTACTGCCCTCTAATGCCCACAACCCCTCATTCTTTGCCCAATAAACATTCCACACTTCATTCTCAGGCTCTTACTTGGCTGTGGGTTGAGTGTTGGGAGAAGGGAGATTGGGTCCGGACCGCTAGCACCTAGGAACCTTGTGCTCGAAGTGCGTTTCCAACTGGAGCTGTTTGATACTCAGACCACCCGTTCTCTCCTGGACCCTCGTCTTTACCTGTGTCCCTGTTTTCCAAACCCGGTACTGCTAGGTGCTGTCTATAGCCAAGGGTCCCCGGTTCCTCTGCCGCCTACACCTGTGGCTGCAGCGCGGGGCTGTCCCTAGCTGCCCGGACCCCAGAGGCTGCTGCACTGGGTTCCAGGCAGGGAAGGAGGGATGGAGACCCGAGCAGCCGTGGAGGGGGCGGGCCCAGGAGGGTGGTGTCCCAAAGGGCAGCTTTTGGAGAACTTGTGGGGGAAATCTCCAGAAGCGGGAGCTGCAGCCCTAGAAAGAACTACGGGTGGGCCGTGTAACGGCAGAACCTAGACATAGCGGATGGACCCACTCTTAGACTAAGTGGTGGTCAGGGTCGCGGCAGAGTCCTGGGGGACCAGGAGATGCTGCAGGATGGTTGCTGGGTGACCTGGGGAAGGCACACGGAGGAAGGGGCTGGGGTCTCAATGTATAGAGGGAAAACGACTGCATGAATATACTGAGTAGTGGGACCCAGAAGAGAGACCCCAGGGGCCTTATAGAGACAAGGCAGAAGACCTAGGGCAGAGCACATAGCAAGAACCCAGTACTTGTTCCCTTCTCTGGTCCGATCTTCCTTATCCATCAGGCCTCATTGACATCTGTGGATGCTGGTGCCCCGAGACCCTGGCACTTCCCTCTATTGAGGCCATGGAGGGCCCCCTCTCTCGGACAGGTGGGCCCCCAGGACCTGGACCTTCTTCCTCCACAGGATCTCCCCAGAGCTCATCCCCTCCAAGGCTCACCCATTATCTTCTCATTGACATCCAGGATGTCCCCTACACAGTGCTTGTGGGTGAGGAGTCACAGAGGGAGGCCAGGGCCAATGGGATTTCCGTTCGGAAAAAGGGCTACAGCTGTCCAGTGTGCTTTAGGGCCTTAGAGTACATTTTACCTTCAGCGACACAGCGTTACCCGTTTGGAGGTGGAGTCCTTCAAATGCGACACTTGTGGGAAGGCATTCAAGGGGGCCAGCCACCCTGAGTGGCACCACTCTGTTCCCCGGGCAGGTGGTGGGGTAGCCCTACAGCTGCTGCTCTGCCTTCGCCGCTTCCAGGATGAGGGCGAGCTAGCTGGGCCAGCACATACGTGGACACTCAGCACGCCTGTTCCAGTGGCCGCTTTGCCCGCGCCGCTTTACCGAGCAGAACACATAACAGAAGCATACTCGGTGGAAGCATCCATGAAGTGCTCCTGGGGACCCCAGGGATTGGGGGCTCCTAAATCTCACACATTGGCTCGTGTTTCAGGCTGGCTTTCAGCGCCCTGGACACAAACTCGAGCCAGCCTCTTTGAAGAGAGCCTGGCAGAAAGAGTCTGAGCTGTCAGTGTGTCCTAGTGCTTTGGGGCTGTAATGGGAAAGACCCTCAAAGAGAACAGCCCTGCATCTTCAACGCATGGGATATTACTCGGGAGCCCTAATGGGAGGGATGGAGGACAATGTTGCTTGGGAAAACTCTTGCCTTGGACGTTCTGGTGGGCAGTCAGAAATGGCCTCTGAGGGTAGGGCCCTAGACTGGACATTCAGAAAGCACCCCGTTCTCAATTAGTCCTTACATTTTTTGAGACCTCTTAGTTTACACACCACCTGGAATAAAGACCGTGACCGAGGCATGGGAAAGTCCTCCTCTGGAGTTAGGTCTACTTCAGTTCCTCCGAACCTGCCATCTACTTATTTACCTATCGAGACAAGGTTGTAGTGTAGGCCAGGGTAACATCACACTTATGATCTTGCCTCCACTTCCTGAGTGCTAGAACTCAGGGCTTTTTGCATGCTAGGCACAGGGTGGAGAAACATTCCCAATACCGTTGGAAATGTGAGTCTCAACGCCACCCCTTCACCTATTAATAGACATAAATAAATAAATAAATAAATAAAGCAAGCCAGAACATAAGCGCACAAAACGTGTGTGGCACAGTTTTAACGGTAGTTACCTTGAGCGTGCACAAGATACCCTGATATGTTTTAAATCTAGACTTCACTTTCCCGTCTACAGCTCTCTGCGGTTTGAAACACTGATCTAGGGCAGGTGGCTCCCCCTGGACGTGCTGACCCGGGCTGCAGTAGATTTGTAAAAGTGAAGCGCCAGAGGGAGCTGCTTCTGTCTCTTGGCTGGCAGGTTCAGTCTCCCTCTGCAATGTTAGTTAAAAGCCATGTCTGCACAAGGGCTCCAGAACCCCAGAGCGTAGCTTGTTCAGCGGCCGGAACCTTGCTCTAGACCTAATAAACATGTCTTCTCCGTCCCGTTTCACGCCTGTTTTGTGCCAGAAGCAGTTAGCCTCTTTACACGACTTCTTTTGGGGGCGGAGGGGAGGGTGGGAGTGTCTTAAGGCTGTGCCTCTACTCCAACCGTCTGACTTCAAATAACACCAACAGCGCTTGGATCTCAAGCCTCAAGAGTGGTCCCGCTTTGGGCTGAGCCTTTGGTGGTGTCACACCGCTGCGTCCTCGCAAAGACCTTGGAGAGTAACTTCCCACTTAACAGGTAAGGAAACTGAGGCTCTGCAGGAATGAGGCTGCAGGGACTGGAGTGTAGAGGCTCCACTGGCGGCTGTTGAGGGGGCTATTCCTGACCCACACTTTGCAGAGATGTAACCACCCCACAACCCATTCGCACATCTGGTTCTCTTATTCCTTTAAACCTTCTCGTGGATGGGCTTGGGGGGGTTATGGCAGGCTCTGGGGCGTATAGATCCAGAGGTGTGCGTATTAGCCAGCTGCTCAGGGATCATTAAAAGGGACTCAAGTTTCGCTGTAATTTTCCTTGCTGCCTCATACCTTCTGACTTTTCTTGGCCCACTGGGCACATAGCCACTCACCCGGAGGACCCCCGGAGCCGCGTCAGCCGTGCAGGATGAGAATTTCATGAGGATCCCTGCCTGGGCTTCGGGAAGGGCGGGGGTGGGGGGGGGTCGGTGGGTTGCAAGGGGCTATCGCGCAAGTGCGGCCCCGACCTCCGCGCAAACAGCGGGCCCCACCTGGGCTCCCAGAGGCGCGCCAGGCCTGGCAGGCCGGAGCCCGCAAGTGCCTGCGTCTCTGCGCGCTCCTCCATCTAATTCCGAGACTCCCCCCTCCTCTGCCGCCGCGCCCGCTTACTGGTGGGTGGGCGCTTCTCTCCGCGACACTTTGCAGACGCTCCCTAGCGATGGGCATGGGCGCCGCTACCACCGTCGGTCCCGGGGCTGGAGTCCTTGCGCGGGTGGGTGAGAGCGGGGCCCTGGCCCCTTGAACCCTGAGCACCCAAGGGCGGGGAGTGGTGCCTACGGCCTTCCCTGCCGCTTGCCCTTTCTGGGACCCTTTGCCTTTGCCACGGTCGCCCCCTCCCACTTGTGGGACAAAGGGCGGGGGCGCATCCCCACGCGTGACCTCCCCCGCACTGCGCACGCGCCCAGCCCCCATCCAGGGGAGGGGCTTTGCTCGCTTGCTCGAGTGCAGGAGGAATGGGAGGCTGGGACAGGGGGAAGCTTGCAGAATGGACCCCCACCCTATGCGTGGAAGCTAGGGGTTGTTTCTCCCTTCCATGTATGGCTTTGGGTCCGGAGATAGATGGCCCATGATGAGAGGCCTTCCTGTTCAGGCCAAAGTGTCCCTGTGGTGTTGACCCCATGAGAAGCCAAAGAACCCAAGGGCCGAGCTCCTTCACAACCACGAGTCCTCTAGCCGAGCCCCCCCTCGCTGTGGATACACGATTTGGAAACCTCAGTATCTCTGTCCAGGAGTATGGTTCTTTCCTCCTTTAGACCACGGCTCCAGGCCGGTGAATCCCTCCTTACTCCCGAGGACTCCACCTCTCCAGGAACTGATTGCCTTTGGTGACCTGTTTCTGTCCAGTGCTGGGTCTGCAGGAAGCCTCGCTATGAATGACCGAAGCAACCGTAGGCGGACAAGTGAGGCACTTGGGGACCCTTTCCCCATCCTTGGCCCGACGTTCTGGTCCCCTGTATCCACGGGGCAGTTAATGGTTGGGGGTGGTCTGAAAGGCTCAGGCCGCTTCGGGGGTGACCTGCACTGGCCTCTCTCCAGTGAAGGACGAAGAGACCTTTGAGATCCCCATCCCCTTGGAAGAGGCACCCCACTTAGACTCACAGATTTTCTACAGTCTGAGTCCCCCTCGGAGAAATTTTGAGGGTGAGCTGAGACGGAGCGGAGGGACTGGGTGAAGCAGGTGGGGTGCCTGCCTCATCCTGGGGGCATGACCGCCCCTGCTCTCCTTAGAGCCTCCCGAGGCCACCTCCCCAGCCCTGGCCCTGATGAACAGCGTTAAGGCCCAGCTGCACATGGCCCTGGAGAGGAACTCGTGGTTGCAGAAGCGCATTGAGGATCTGGAGGAGGAGAGGGACTTTTTGCGGTGTCAGCTGGACAAGTTCATTTCCTCAGCCCGGATGGATGCAGGTGGCGGTGGGGGCACAGAGTTCCCTCCCAGGACCCGCAGAATTCAAAACCCACTGTTGGGTCGACCTGACTGGGGACTTGCAGTTTTATCTTCCCACTAAGGATCGTGCCAATTCTTTAGCCACTTCCCCAGCCATTTCCTTCCCTGTACTGCCTGTCCCATAACCCATCAGCCTCAAGCACTTGGCATAACTGTCTCCCTGAGTCTGGATTTCTAACCCAGGTTCCTCATCTTAGGGGAAATATCCCTTAACACCTTGCCAGTCTGCCCACTGCAGTCTGTTGAACTCCTCAGAGGGCCCTGAATGACCTATCCATCCGTCCATCCGTCCACTCACCCACCCATTCATCTATCCATCTATCTGTCTGTCCATCCTTTCAATGCAGGTGCCCTGGAATAGCAATCAGGGTCTTGTTTTCCCACTACTCTGGTTTATATATATATTTTTTGTTTTGTTTTGTTTTTTCGAGACAGGGTTTCTCTGTATTGTTTTGGAGCCTGTCCTGGAACTCACTTTTTGTAGACCAGACTGGCCTCGAACTCACAGAGATCCCGCCTGCCTCTGCCTCCCGAGTGCTGGGATTAAAGGCAAGCGCCACCAACGCCCGGCTTGGTCTATATATCTTAACTAGTGTTTTTTATCCCTCAAAGACTGTGGGACTTCAGGACCTGTTGTCCCCCAAACTCTGCTGCATGGTCGTTGGCACATTCCACGGCTTTGCTTTGCTTTATGACTAACAGCATGGCGGTGTCACCCCTTTTGTAGGCACAATCCTGTCTATTAATCTGTGTTATCTATTCCTGCCACATCCCCCAGCCTAGGCTGCCCTTCCCTACATCTTTAGCTCAGGTCTTTTTTTTTTTTTTTTTTGAGACAGGGTTTCTCTGTGTAGCTTTGCAGCCTATCCTGGCAATCGCGCTGTAGACCAGGCTGGCCTGGAACTCACAGAGATCCGCCTGCCTTTGCCTTCCGAGTGCTGGGATTAAAGAGTGCTGGTATTAAAGATTAAAGGCATGCACCAGCAACGCCCGGCTTTAGCTCAGTTATTGGAGAACTTAATCTTTATTCAGGCCATAACCTCATCCTCTATATCCAACTGAGCTGCTGGCGGACTTTCTAGCTGGTGACGTCAGAAGCCCAGCATTGGGATGGGCAGCATGTATGTACCCTCTCCCTACACTGAGAACTCTCTCCCGGGTGACTCCACTCTTTCCTTGGTGTGGCGGGGCACAGATCCCTCTGACTTCAGTTCTCCTCAGGAGTCCATCCTTTGGAAGATCTGAGTCTGAGCCCCGGGTGGCTGCATGTCCAGGTGAAGGTAGTTAGCCTTCCCCAGTACCCAAACTGAACTCTGATATCCAACCCTCTCACCCAGAGGCCTTGCCTGCCTCTAGGATTTAGACTCTACTCCCCGAAGAGTCACAGATCCCCCTGAGCTCCCTGGGCCTGTTTCAGGCCAATTCTCCCAGTGTTCCCTGGATCCCAGCTAGGTCTACGCCATTCATCCTTGGGGGGCTTCCCCGTCCTCATCCTGAGGACCTGGCCTCCTCAGGGTGAGAAGACATTGTGTCACAGTTCACTCTTGTCTCTCTTCAGAGGATCACTGCCGGATGAAGCCTGGGCCACGGAGGGTTGATGGGGACAGCCGGACTGGGGTTGGGGGAGAAGCCTCAGACCCCGAGTCAGCAGCCTCCTCCTTCAGCGGGGCATCAGAGGAGGGCGGTGCCGGTGAAAGGAAGCGCCTGAAGCTGAAGGGAAGTTCTGGCCGGAGGCGATTTGGGAAGCCCAAGGCTCGAGAGAGACAGCGGGGTGAGTGGGTGCACGTGATGATGTGTTGAGGGGTGTCCACCCAGAATCAAGGCGTGAGTTCTGCAGCGATGCCCTAACTTAGACAGATACAAAGCAATCAGACCCAGCTTCAGCTCGCAGCCCTTCTATACGGTCCTGAGTTAATTTTAAATTTCGGGTCTACACTAACCAGCAGAGTCAAGCCTGTTTCCTCATCAGAGGAGGCCTCCGGGCACACTCATAGGTGGGCACATGCGCACCCTCTTCAGTTTCCGCCTGGTCCTTCTCCTGTTCTCCGTTTTGTTTTCCCTTCTCTTCCTGCACGGGGCTCGCCCGATTCCTTCGTTTCTTTACCCTTTCACCCGGTCTCCCCCGCATGCCTGCCCTCCCGCTTCTACCTGGGTCCCCCGCCCCCCACGTCTCTGGCCCCACACGGCTGTCTTTCCCGTTCTCCTCTTTCTGCCCGTTTGGCCCGTGCAGTGAAAGACGCCGATGGGGTCCTCTGCCGCTACAAGAAGATCCTGGGCACCTTCCAGAAGCTGAAGAGCATGTCTCGAGCCTTCGAGCACCACCGTGTGGACCGGAACACGGTGGCGCTCACCACGCCCATCGCGGAGCTGCTCATCGTGGCTCCGGAAAAGCTGGCGGAGGTGGGAGAGTTCGACCCGTCCAAGGAGCGCCTGCTGGAGTACTCCCGCCGCTGCTTCCTGGCGCTGGACGACGAGACCCTCAAGAAGGTGCAGGCTCTCAAAAAGAGCAAGCTGCTTCTGCCCATCACCTACCGCTTCAAGCGGTGATGCCGCCGCCCCCGCCCCGCACGCCCGCTAGGCAGGGCTGGCCGGGGCACCGCCAGGGCCACCAGATGCCGCCCTTCTCGCTCGCCCGCGCCGGGGCACGTCATCGCCATCCCACTCCGCCAGGGCGCCCGGCTCGGCCTCCCTAGGCCAGGAGCAGCCCATCTGCATCTTTCACCAAGACAGAGCATTATTCAGAGAGTTTAAAATTAAAGAGACGTCGAACATTTTCAATAAACTGGGCCCCAGGTCTTCCTAGGGGAGGGGATGGGCCGGGAGGGGGGTGGCCGTCGCCACGGGAGACCGGGACGGGCGCGCTCAGCAGGCAGAGGAGCCTCTAGAGAGAGGTTGGGGAGGAAGGACGGCGTGTAACTAATTCTCCATGCCCAGGAGGCAGGAGTGGGAAGGGGGAGCAGCAGCTCCTCCCCAGAGGGGCCGGGAGGGGCGCCGACTCTAGAGCGCGGCGGCTGGGGCGTTGATTCGATGACCTTTTAGGGGACCAGGGGGCGCTGTGCGGACGCTTTTCTGCCCGTCCGCCAGGGGTCAGGAGATGGCCGGCCCGAAGGCGGCAAGTCCCGCGCTTGCGCGGCGGGGTGGGGAGCTAACGCGATCGCCAAGGCAACCGGGAGAGCGCTGTCTAGTTTAACGGTCCCGGAGTTAGTGCATACGGGCGGGGAGGGGGGGGGGGAACCCCAAGCGCACGCGCAATGTGGACTTAGCATGGCGGATCCACCCGAGGGAAAAAAAAAACGCGCCTCCGACCGACGGCCACGCAGGCGCAGACCCCTCCCCCCTCGCCATCTCCTTAGTCACCGCGCGCAGGCGCCCCAGGCCGCGCTAAAACCTCCGCAGAGGCCTCGAGCGCCCATGCAGCACTGGGTGCAATTGTCTCGCACACCTCCTCGGGCCTTCCGCGAGGCCGGCCTCTTTCCTTTTCCGTTCTCCTCGCTGGGAGAGCCGCGAGCCCAAGTGAGGAGACCTCCCCCGCCCCGCCCCCTCTCCTGGAGCTCCCCGACCCACCTCTTTAGCTGTCCTCCCTCCCTTTTCGGTCCTCGAAGCCGAAAGGAGCCGAAGCCGCGGCGGAAAAAGCCGAAGCTTCCCCCCCCCCACCTTGAGCGGGAGGCCTTCCCGAAGCAGTGGCGGAAGGGAACGAAATTCTCCGGAAGGGGCGGAGTGACCCAGTGGAATCTCCGGAAAGAGCCGAAGATTAGACTCGGGTTACTCTCTTAAGGGGCCGAGAGCGAGCGCTGGAAAGCTTCGGAAAGAGCCGAGGGTCTGGACGGTTAGGATTGTTGGAAGGGACCGACTGCTTGAACAGAGCCAGCAAGGGGTGGGACGCATCTCCAGAGGAAGCCAGAGACTGAGACGGTTTGAGTTGTAGGAAAAGACCCGAACCCCTTTTTTAAATTTTTTTATTTTTTACAAGGGGCTGGCGTAGGGGAACGCGGGGACCTACGGAATCCTCCGAACGTTGAGACGCCAGTCTCCCGAAAAGTTGCCGAAAGTCGGGCAGCCTGCAGAAACCCTCGCACCGGGTGATTTCGAGGGTTAGCCGCAGCCGCCTGCAGGCTCCTCGGCCCGCGGTCCGAGAAGAGCCGACCGGCTTCGGAGCCGGGCTCGGGAGCGGGGGCCGTTCGAGAGGGGAGGGAGGGGCGGGGCGGGGCGAGAGGGGGGCGGAGTCGGGGCGGGGCTTGATTAGGTAGGCGACGGAGGGCCGGCGGGGGGGCCGGAAGTAGCCGAAGCCAGCGGCGGAAGTAGCCGGAGCGGGCGGGCGGCAAGGCGAGGCGAGAGCTGCACAGGGCCCTGCGCGGCCGCCTAAGCATGTCGGACTTCGACGAGTTCGAGCGGCAGCTCAACGAGAATAAACAAGGTGAGGGCGCCGGGGCCGTGGGGTGACTTCTTGCTTAGCTCCGTGCCCTCCCCACCCCACCCCGCCATTTCCTCCTCTTGTTCCCCTCCCCGGGGCCGCATGATTCTCTCCCCCCCCTCCGTCCGCGCCGCGCGCGCCTCGCTCACGTGACCCCCCCCTCCGAGCCGAGGGAAGGCGCCGCGGCCGAGGCTCAGGGCGCGTGCGCGCGGCCCCGTCCCGCGCCCACGTGGTCCCGGCGGAGGCGGCGTGCTGCGTCGCGTTGGCGCGGGGAGAGCGCGCCGGGTTCTCCTACGCGAGGGTTGTTATTTTGTTCGTTTTGTTTTTTTAAGTCTTTTCACTCTTTATTTGAGAAAGATGAATTTGGGTCTCTCAATCCCGTCTTTCTCTTCCCCTTGCTGTCTCGGCGCTTCCGCTTCCGCTCGGGCGGACTTTTCCCTTCTCCACGCCCCCTTTGTTTCCAAAATGGCGGTGGCGAGGCGAACCATCCATCTCCCCCCCCAACCTTTCCTTCACGTGGACGGGCGCTGCAAACTCCCGGGGCTTGCACGTTTCCAGCCCGTTCACGTTTTTCCCGATGTCTCCGAACTCTCCCGCCCAGGGTATTTGTGTCCCAGCCGCCGCACGGAGCCATAGATATTAAGTGTGCCCGACACCTGTTTGCCCGTCAAAGGGGGGGAGCCTCTGCATTCTTTGTGTCCTTACACGCGTAAATCGTGTGCTCCAAGCTTGGTCTTTTGGCGGCCGACAGGTTCTGTGAGTGCCTGCAATATCCCTGATTTTAGGCAAAACCCCAAGTCCCGCATCGTTCCAAACTCGGGTGCTTCGAGCCCAGGCTCACTGTGGGGGTAACATAGACATGTGGGAAGGGATCTTGCCCAGTTGGCGTTAACGGGTTGGCGGAGGCGGCAGGTACGCCGGGGTAGCAGTCTGTCCTGGGAATTTGGGTCGGAAAGAAAGGCAAGGCCGTGTCGGCGCTGATGAGTTTAGGGATTCCGAGGACATCCCTACAACCTTTTCTTTCTGTTCTGGTTTGAGACTGAAGACGGGCTCAAGTTTCCTGAGGATTGGGGTGCAAGCTGTCTTGTGTTCCTGGCTGGAGTTGGAAGGACTGCATGAGGCATTCCGAATTCTTTGAAAACAATGCATGTGGAAAATGTAATTTTCTGATAGCCATCGGTGTGTTTTCTTTGAGTAGTGCACTGCTTAGGAGTTTTCTTATACCTGAGTTCAATACCTGCATTGTTGGTGGATGGATGCTCTAGTACCTTTGTAGCTGTTACTTGTATGCTACCCCTGAATAGTTACAGGGTTTTTGAGATTAGTAATGGTGGTACATATTAATTAGAGTTGTAATTAAACTCAGGGCTTACCATTTGTCCAGACAAGGCAATTTGTTAATAACAAACTTTTTTTTTTTTGGTTTTACGAGACAGGGTTTCTCTGTATTGTTTTGGAGGCTGTCGTCCAGCCCGGCCTCGAACTCACAGAGATCCGCCTGCCTCTGCCTCCCGAGTGCTGGGATTAAAGGCGTGCGCCACCACCGCCCTGCGCTAAATAGTTTTCTTAAGTGAGTCATTTGTAGCAGACTTCTGAGGACAAAATAATTCCTTGTTCTTTGGGCGGGAAAACTTGAGGCTCATAACGTTTTTTTAAATGTTCTTTTCTGTTAGGAGCTGAGATTAAATGGAGCGATGTGTGCATGTAGAGTATGTGGCTTGGATTGCACTAAGTCCTTAGTAGCCACACTTGTTATTGTGACCAGGTGGTCTTCGGCTCAGGCAGACCTAGTGTTGGAGTTACAGAAAGTGGATACTCCTGTAAGACCTCATGAGACCTGAGTGGTGTAGATGTGACCTTCATTGGAGGAAGAGAACCCAGTGTTAAGGCTAAGTTTTGCTTTTGTGTTGAGCTCTGACTGCAGGTGGGACTACTGCTTCAGCTGGCCTTTGAGGCTGTGGTAGACAGAGTGTCCCTGCCGGAGTTGGAAATGACCCGAGACCTGACACTTCAGGGCTGCTTGGTGGAACTGTGCGTGTAAGACAACTGTAGGGTAGCATTTTGAGCGAATGAAGTTAGATTTTTCAACTGTCCAGTGTCGTGTGGAAGATTCTTGCCTTGCTAAAGAAAGTTTAGCGTCTTGTGACTTTGCCCGTAGATACTGTCTGTGACCCAGGCTCCTTGGGTTTCTCAGCTTCAGCCCCTTTTCAGTGTGTAACTCTACATGGAGTTTTCCTGGAGTGTCCTAGGCACACAGTGTGGCCATTGCCTCCTCTCTGCAGGTCTTTGCTTGTGTTTGAGGGTTAGCAGAAGGAAATACATTTATGATTTATAAGTGACCCCACTTCAGGTGTGGAGCCAGAGCTGCATAATGTTGTGTCTGTCCCAATGTTCCACATGATTGCCTCTGTATAATTCTTGATTGTTTTATTCTTTGCATTTGTGAATGCAAATAATAACATCTTTTGTCACTAGTAGTGGTAGCCAGACTCTGGAGTGAATGTCCTGCCTCATCTTCAAAGTACAGCCTGGTGCCTAACTTACTTATCATTGCATTACAATTTGAGTTTGAACGTCACTGTTTACAAGTCATGTTCTCCTCATGCCTCCGTTTCCTTTTCTGCTGTATGAGCTTCTGACAAAGTTTTGCCAAAGCAGTAAGTGATAATTAGACACAAGTGAAGGTATTCCGTCTGTATAGATTCTGATAGAGGTGTCTCAAGATTGGTTATGATTTTTTTCCTGGGTACTTTCCTCAGTATTAGTAGCTATGTAGTTAAAACAGATTTCAAATTTTCCTACTTACTCTATCAGAAAAATACATAATGCAAATGTCTGGTGAGTTAGAAAATCTACTTTGAGACATTTTTCATTGCTTTTTCCTGCTACTAGTCTTAGAAGTCAGTCTTTTTAGGATACACCTGTTAGAGTTTTCAAGTGTGTTTGTTTTTGAGACAAGGTCTCCTTTAACTTCCTAGCCTCCAATTCTTTTTATCTTCCTGTCTCAGCCTTCCCCATGCTGGGACTATGATTGTGCTTATTAATTATTACTCTTGTCTGTGTGTGTGTGTGTGTGCGTGCGTGTGTGTGTGTGTGTGTGTGTGTGTGTGTGTGTGCATGCATGCGTAGGTCTTAGTGGTTGAGAAACTAGTGGGACCTGGGAACCAAGGAAATACATTGAGTGATCCTGGTGTAGTGTTTGCCTTCAAGGGCCAGTCTTCAAAATTGGGGTTATCCAGTTGTGTTTTGTTTAAGTTGGAGCCTCTCTATGAAGCTGGCCTGGAAGCCACAGAGGTGCATTTGCCTGCCTTTGCATTCTGAGGTTCTGCAGTTTTTCTTGGAAGCCTGTGCTCTGTAGTAGCCGTGGTCTC